GAGGAGCAGAAAGTCATTTATTTTTACTTTTGCCGTTTGTGGGCCTCATAGAAGAAATGAGTCTTCAGAAGAAATTTAATGAGGAGAATTTGAAACGTCTGGAACTAAACATTGTTTTAAATCCTCGTCCACCTCCAAATAACAATAAAACACAAATCAGTTTGAAGCCCATGAAATGATGTCGCTATTTTATGTAAATATGAACAAACACCCATAAATACACAAGTGGAAAGTGTTCCAGAGTAACAAAAAAAAATCCTTGAGCTACATATCTATAATTATAAAACAGTCTTAGGTTATATATTGATAAAGTGTTGTAGACAAGGACTTTTGGAGAGCGTGGGGAGAACTCAGATATAAGAGAAAACATTACTATGTTAGGATTTGAAAGGTAAAATTAAAATGCTAAAACATCCTGGCCAAAGAGGACTGGCCAAAACAGTAGTAATATCCCACTTCTGCAGACAGTGAAAATTAAGATAAGAGTTGATGTGTATTCTGAAGATTTTGTTTTCTTGTAAAAAGTCTTTCTTGTAGGAAAGTCAGAGAAAAGCAAGTTGCACAAAGAATGGATAAGAACGTAAGAAGCTTGCTTTTAGATACATGCTCCTTGTGTGCAAGAGATGTAAGTTTTTTAAATGAATTGTCAGACGGGTACCAGAAGTCTTAAAATTCCCCTTGACCTACATTTTACTCTGTGGAATTATTGTTTTGGGATATGGGACATTTCAACCTTTAAAGGAAGTTCCCACCCATTATTAATATTGTGATATAAAATTAAGTTTACATACAAAATTTATATTAATGTAACTACATTTCATACATGTTAAGACCAACAGGGACTATGATCATTTAGACTGGCCTTGTGCCTAACTCAGGACAGAGAATTTCACTGAGTGATTCCTACATTTTTGGTTGCAAAGTTGAGTACCTAAAAAGTTTGGAACCGGCAAGTGTTAAAAGTGTCTAATAAGGAAATAATATAACATTAGCAAGTTATCTATTTTTCAATAGAAAAAAACCCCTCATTTAACTCAAGCTTTGCAACAACAAAAATCATCAATCTCAGAGAAAGACCAAAGACAATTTTAACCTAAAAAGTTTGCTAACATTATAAACAATTGAAAAGAAGCAGGTCATAAAACAGCTTGAATATTGGTCTTACAGTTCTACCTCAATGTTAAATCCTGAGGAATCTATATCATATGTCTGAAGTATACAGAGTTCTCATTTTCTTTAATACTGCATGAAAATAGGATGACCAAGCAATCCATACATTTAAGGGGAGTTGGGCCAAGTTTCCTACCATAGCCACTCTGACCATATGTCCAAGTTTTTCTGGAACAGTCTCAAATTTAAATGCTCTGTCCCGGTATCCCCAGTAGGGAAATGTCCTGAAAAGTGCTGCCGGTTCTGGCTAGAAATAGCACTGCCATTTCCCTCCCCAAACTGGGACAGCCTTGCAGACGCTAGTGCGGTGCAGCTGCATCTCCCTCCCCGTACCCTGAGCATGTAGGCAGCTTTGGTACTTTGTTGGTGGGCAGCCAGGGCTGCTGCTGGTGGCACACGGTTTCTGCAGTGGATCAGAAGCTGGAGGCCAGAGCATTCTCCGAGCTCCAGAGTGGTGCACGCCACTGCCCAGCAAGCCCCTGCCACCCACCACCATGTGGCCCCCTCCCTCACCTCCTGGGACTGCCTCTGCTGCCCAGGCCCCTGGTCCAGCTGCACCACTTCCTCCTCCATCCCCAGGTGGCCGCTTGTTCTTTGCACAGCGGCTGCTGCTGCTGGTGGGAAAGAGGGCACCAGGTGGGTCACAGAAAAAACCTGGCAAAGCTGATCCTTGGAGCTGCTGCCTGGCCATGTGGAGCCTGGCTGGGATGTTGTGAAGTGGGCATGGTC